TGAAATTAATTATTCCTGAATAATATGACATGATCATTTATTCAGAATTCTCTAAAAACGCCAAAAATTACAATTCATTGAATATCAAATTCATCTTTAAAAATAATAATACAAATTACGGCTAATAACCATTATAAATAATAAAGATACCCAGATTAATGTAATAAAAGCAATCTAATACGAAGATAATACGTATTCCTTGGAGCTTGTTAAAAAAATCACTTCAAAAAAGTTTTCTATATTTTGATGATAAATCCCTTCACTTAAATTATCCTTCATTCCATGCAATAATCGCCATCATTCCAACACCGATAAGCATTGCCAATAATTCTGTACCAGCTTGTTTGAGGTCCTTAGTAAAATTTCCAGTAACATCTAATAATTCAGGAATAACTCCAACAGTTGCGATATATAAAAATCCACCTGCAGTGAACGGAATTACCAAATCACCTGCAACAACCCCGGTTCCCAATATTCCAAAAACTTCATCAGATGTTAAAATTTCAGATGAATGGTGGTCACCACGACTAACTTCTTCAATCATAATTCCAGCAAAAGTTCCAAGAAATGCACCAATGGCTGTTATAAATTGTGAAAACATTGCACGTCGTTTAGTGAAACCACTTTGTATTAAAATAGCATAATCGCCTATTTCATGTGGAATTTCGTGAAAAAATACCGCGACCGTTGTTGTTGCACCTATACTAGGAGATGTATAAAATGATGCAGCCATGGCAAGTCCATCAGTGAAATTATGAGTAGCATCTGCGATTAAATTTAGATAAGCCGATAATTTAATACTGGTAGATGGTGTCTTAATAATAGGTTTTTCGTCCATTTTCTTCCCATCCGTTGATATATTCTTATCAATATCGGATTTTCGTTGACGAAGTGTTGAAGATGAAAGTTCATTTAAGTTTGAATTATGAGATGTGCTTGATCCAGAATCTTTATAATCTTGTTCATGATTATGAGAACTATGTGAATGACTACCATCCCCACCACTTACCACACGCATCAATTTATCAATAACATAAAATGTAATCAAACCGACAAATATTGCCAAACCAATAATTACATTTTTTTTTTCATCAATTTGAACAAAATGAACTTCTTCATCATTGGTTTCCCCTAAAAATGAATGTGGTAATAAGTGAAGAAATACATCACCTAAAAGACCACCAACAGCGAAGCTAACAAGAGAATTTAAAGAAGAAGGTTTTATATCTGGTGGAACAAAATAAAGAATAAAATTTGGTATGGATGAAATATAAAATGTGCCAAGAATAGAATTAACACGAGGACTCCCAGGAAATAAAAAATTAAAGATTTGTTTTGTAAGATTATTTTCTATATTTGATTTGGCCTTTTTTTGTTTGTTGAGTTCTTGAATATATGGACATTGTTCTGTTGATTGATAATGCTTATTATATTCTACTTGATCTTCCCGTGATTTTGTATTTATCGTATCAACTATTTCTCTTTCGTTTAGAGAATCCGTTATGACACTAGGAATTATAATGATAAAAATAAAAATTATTGAAGTAAAAACCAGTACACGGAGATTTGTAAGCCTCATCCTCCGAGAAGAGTGCCGAGTTGTATTAGTCATTTTTCTTTTGAGAATCTAGATGTTATTTTTAGACGTTATTTTTTTTAGACATTATTTTAAACGTTATTTCTCTAGTAAATCAAAAAGATCAAAAAAATGAATTGAAATTTATTATAATGTCATTTATTAGATTTTAAACGCGTTAAAAGACATAGATTACATCTTTGTATTATGATTTTTTAACAAATATCTTTAAAATACTAATATATCAAATTTGAAGTTACAAACCAAAAAGAAACGGATAAAATAAGCTTCTAATAAGTATTTATATATTTTATCGCAGCGAAGGTTTCAAAAAAAAAAAAAAAACACGAAAATCGTTTTAATTCTAACTAATCATTGATCATCAGATTTTAGTTGTCATATTCTGATTGGTAAAAAATCAAAATATTATCGCGCTCTTGCTATTTTAACGAGTGTAACATTACATTACACAATATTGCAATACCTACTGTACCTAAACCTTATTGATTTTCTATAAAAATATAAATAGAGAATAATCCGATTTGTAAAGATGTGAAATAATTTAAAATTCACCACTAGTGAAATTCACTAGTATATATTTCTGTTTAATTATTTCTTTAACTTTAGGGTTAGGGCGAGATCTATATTAGGGTTAGAGTGTTTATTATATGTAAAATTATATGCTAAAAACTTTTACTTAGTGTTATAATACAAGTTTTCATAATAAAATTTTAAGATATTAATGATTTTTAATTAAAATTTCTTTATCATTATATAAGATTCTGTAATTTTATTGGTTAATCATATAACTAGTGAATTTCACTACTGGTAAGTATTAAAATTTTTTTATTTTATTTTATTTTATT